CTCTTGTTCCTATATGCCCCCCCTCTCCTCTCACCAGCTGACCAGAGTCCACTTTGCACTTTTCCTCTTTATTGCTTTTACTCAGTTGTGCAAGCTGTGACATCACTGCAGCATCACCACAGGGTTACAGTCTGACTCTCAGGCTTAGTGCTTCAGCCATGTCACAGTGGGGTGGGGCGACACTGTCGAATCATATCAATGAAGTTATGTATTTATATATTCTCGTGTTAGTCCTGTGACACATGCGCAGCCCATCCCGAGTGAATCCGACCTTTAACGGGCTTTAACAACCCTCCCACAACTGGGATGCACCAGTTGTGAAATTCTGGGTAAATAACAGTGTTTCAAATCAACAATTTGCATTAGTAGACAGTAGATACCGAGATTTTATTTCTAGTTGTTGTTGCTATTTACTTGCCAATCTGTTTCAATTACCTGACCCATTTGCGGTCAATATTCAGCCAACAGCTGACGTCTCTACAGTTTGAGTTTGTTTTTCGTCCCCCTTTTTGTACCAGGGAGGAAGTGAAAGCAGCAGCGCTATTAATATCAAACATCACTGAACATTTAGCCAGTGCAAAACGGAGGTGACACAACAGATGAATACGGGCCACTGTAAATCACATCTTATTCCCTGAGATCAGTCAGCAGGGCACATAATGGCTGAAACGGATATTCTGCATACATATCGTACCTCATCGAAGCATCAAAGTGTCTGGATGGTAAATTTATGCACCTTATAAGGTAAGGAGCAAAGATTATTCCACAACTGAGGCCAAACAGTGCGCCATCACCTCCCCCGATTACTTTTTAAAGCAAAATTCTTATGCATACTATGTATGTGTGTGTACATATATATACACACACACACATGTAGATATATATATACATACACACTGATAGCTTAGGGTGAGAGGCAGGGTACAACCTGGACAGGTCGCTGGTCTGTCACAGGGCTAACACACAGAGATAATCATGCACACTCACATCTCATACATGTGTGGTTTTGCCATTATGCACCAAAATGACGCCGTCATCATGATACTCAAACTCAGAGGATAGTCATTATCATAAACTGGAATATTCTTTATCAGTATTCATATCTTTACAGTTCAGACACACCGAGGTTAACTGGCTGATGGCACCATGAACTCAAATATCAGTCACGTAATGATGTCAGTTACCATGGTTTGTCTGTTGTGTCAGATCAATGTAGCAATTTTGTGACAATGGGCTGAAAGACTTTAAATCACTAAAGACTTTTAACTTCAATAACAAAGATTTTGTCCTGGGCTGAAAAGGGAAAAAAAAACAATATAACCAAAATGAACAAATAATACCAATAAAAGATCTCTACGGGCCTTAGTTGTTACCAAAAACATTAATCCCAGTTTTATTTACAACCTGCGTTTGTTTCAGTTTCAGGTGTGTGGGTCCAATAGTTCATTGGTAACTAAATAAATAAATGTACGATTATATGAACACTTTAGAGAATTGTAAGTTTATAATATGGACACTTGCGACAAACCACAATTTTAATCGGTAGATTAAACGCATTCTTAATTCATAACTCAAAGTTTGGCTTAAAAAATGTCTGAAAGTGGTGAAAATGTACTGATCAAAATTAGCTAAAGCCCAAGATGACACACAGCATGTGTCAATTACAATTGAAAAAGAGGAAACGCGATGACAAAGTGAAACAGCTGGGACCAGTTTATATGTCGTTATATTGTTGTCCAAACCCTCCTGACACAGAGGTGGCTACTGTAACCAAAAGCTCACAAAAGCTGTAAAGACTTTAAAGCACGTTATTAATTAAGGACACTAGCTAAGAAAAGCTAAATGGTGTGGCTGTGTCCTCACTTCTCATTCAGCAGGCTAAAAACAAACCGTGGCAGCTCGAAGAGGATGCTGGCATGTGTCCCAGCTGGCCTCAGCTAACGGATGTACTCATTCCCTTCAGCTGACAAGAATACTCCAGCATGAGCGCTGGATTATCCTGCACTCCCCTGGTACTTGTTTTAACTCATTTAAGTACTACTACAGATCTATGGCCGATGATGCAGCACTCTGTGTAAAACTCCAACATGACAAATAATCTTTGTCTCACTCACAGTGGCTGGATCCGCTCCAGTGCCTGCCGGTCAGCAGAGACCCTCCAAAGGGGCGCTGGAGTCCTCCTACAACGGACAAGAGTCCCTTCTCCGGCCCGAGCCCCGGGGGTCTGTGGTAGTAGTCCATGCTTAGAAAAGAGCCCGTGCTTGGGCTGCTGGGGCTTGGGCTTAAACCCACAACATCCACGCTTTCGTACATCTCCGAGAGGCGGGAGTCGGGATGTGGTCTCTGTGTGGTAAATAGAGGGAGGGGGGAAGAAGATCAAAGCGTCCTGGACGGCGATGAGAGAAAGAGGAGCGGAGGGAAGGAAGAGTTCACATCTTCATAACAGACTGATAGGAGCCAGAGGAGGAGGAGGTGGATTCCCGGTGACCTTTCAGGCTTCGGACAAACGCAGTTAACAGTCAAACTTTGCCGTCTTTTGTGATTTATTTATTCTTTTGTGCCTCCTTCACAAATTAAACATCGCTACAGTCCAAATGCTACAAGTGCTAACAACCCAAGTGCCGCTGCTACCTCGAAGCCCTGAAAAGACGAAAAGACTAAAAGCCAGGGGAGAGAAACACTGTCGCTCCAGTCGCCTCTCGCACCGTCACACAGTCGTGTGTCATGTTTTACTTCATAGTGAGTGTGGGCTGCCGCCTGCGTCCGCTGATCCACAGCTCCTATTTTCTAATAGGCTAAATATATCGTGTCATACAACTTGCCCCTGAAGCCACCCAGGTGAAGTCTTTTTCACCGACATTGTGCTCCGTAATGTCACAGCCAGTACACTCTGTCCTTAAATCCACGCACACTGTCAATGAATGTAACCAAAGCCTTAAAGTAAATCGGTCCGGTCGGTTGGTGCTTCGCTCGCTCCGGTTCAGAGAGTGCACGCATTAAAAGCAAAAATACGCAAAAAAAAAGCCGAGAGCCGACACATTAATTCTGCAAATGTGAGCGGTGTGGGACTTTGAAGTTGCTGCTGTATATGCAAAGAGCAGAATATCCAGAGGTGAGGAAAGCTGGAGAGATAATCCGAGTCAGTCAGGAGCGCTGCTTCTTGCTAGTAGCTGAGGTCCAGCAGCGGTACACGAGTGTCCTGTGGTAACCCCCACTCTGTACCCGACGGCCTCTCTCTCTCCTCTCTCTCTCGCTCTCTTTCTGGTTGGTGAGAGACACCAGCTGCGCACGAGCTCCCCCTACTTGTCATGCGCGAGCCTCCTTCCACCAGGAGGAGGGTATAGAGTTAAAGGAAATGATTTTAATCGTGGCTTCCCTTGCCCCCATATAAGGGCTTTCGGAGATTTGCCTGTCCCATAACAGTTTGGTAATGGAGTAAATTTAAACAGTACATTTTAATCACTGAACAATTCACTTACAGCGGTTTGGCCCACTGCCATTCCCTAACTTCCCTTTACTAGATTATCTTAAAAGAAATGAGTGTGTGAGAAAGACCTTTTTTCTACCACTCGGTTATTCTAGTTTTGTATATTCTAATTTTTAAATTAAGTTTTAACCTTTTTTTAAAAAAAAATTAATTTAAGTTTCAATGAGTTTCCAGAATGGTTTTCTCATTTCAGTTTAGATTTTATTATTTGAATGTGGGGATATGTAAGGCATGTATCAGCGCCAATACTTAGTTTTGAGATGCAGTTTACATTTTGTGATAGTTTAAGTTTCTACTTGCACAACATTTTCAGCTATAATATATATTGCACTTTTAATTCCAAGAGAATTGTCAGATAAACTAATGTTCTACATCCAAAGTGTATTTACTCAGGCTCAACAAATGAGGGGACAATGAATCATGTAAGCTCCATTTTAACGGAATTCAGTATCAAGATACTGTAAAATCTACTGTAAGTATTCAGCATAGTCAAATGTTGACCAACTGCTGCACAGCAAGTAACTGAGAGGCCATTAAAGCATTACAGTAAAAATGAAAAATCATTGTTAAAAAAAACAAACAAACATATTTTTTCAAAGATACACTTGGGCAAGTCTTGGATATAGCTGTGTTTTGCACCAAATCCTAACCTGAAAAGGCCAAGCAGGGGTGCTGTGTTTTCAGCGGGGTTCTGGTGCTGTTATCAGGTAGGTGACCAGATCTGTTGAGGGACGCCGTTCCAGAGTTTAGGAGCTACAACTGAGAAAGCCTGTCCAGTCTAGAACAACAGGCACTAAAACCTGCTGGTCAACTGACGCAAGCGAGCAGTGTGGGACCATAAACTATAAATGGTCTGTGTGTACTAAACTTTTATTTTACACTGTTCAAATATTTTATGCCTATGTTCTGAGCCATTTTTGTAGGGTTATGAGACAGCTTCGACAGTGACATCAACGCATATAGAATACAGCTGACAAAAAAATATGCTTTCATAAATGCTGGATTTTATTGAGCGTGCACACTTACATTAAACCTTAATGTTAAGCCTCTGTCTATCCATTATTCTGTCAACTTACATTTGCAGTATCTGTCAGCAGAAAAGCAGAAAAGCAGCTGCTAACCATCACAAAAAACAACAAGGTTAATAAATAAAATGTTTGTGCTATTTGACTCAGAAAAATACATTTAACACAAATCTCAACTACAATATTAAATTATTGTGTAAGGACTTGAGCATATTACGTTTTTACATTATAAATGGCAACAAATACATAAAAAATAAATAAATACTGTCAAGAATAAAGAGTCTATGTGCTGAATATACTGAAAAATATGAAGTAGTTGCTTAAAAGCAACTTAATAAAGATAAAGAGCAGTAAATGGACTTTTGGACTGTGTAGGAGGTAACGACAGATGGTGCTGTGACAAGGATACTGGAAAAAGTTTGGACACACCTTCTCATTTAACGTTTTTTCTTTATTTTGTAGATAGATACTGAGCATGTCAAATATATGCAGCAAGATATATGGAATTATGTAGCAAAGAAAAAATAAAAAAATAACTCTAAATATGTTTTATATTCTAGATTCCTGAAAGTAGCCACACTTTGCTTTGTTGACAGCACTGCAAACCCTTGGCCTTTTCTCAGTGAGCTTCATCATGTAGTTGTCACAGTACTGGGTACAGTACTGGGTTTGAGACCCAGTAGGTGTAATTCTAGTTAAAGTCTTGGATTTGTTGTTCTTCATGGTTTTTGTTCTTTTTATTGTTTTTCTGCTGGTGTTATATTCTTAGTTCCTAGGCTTTAGGTTTCTGTTACTTTGTTACTTTCTAATCACTCTTTTCTCCATGTTCCCTCTGTCTCCTCAGTCAGTTATGTCTCCATGTCTCAGTGTCATGTCTGCGGCTTTGTAAATGTCTCTTAGTTCCTGTTTTACTTTGAAAGTCTTGTGTCCCGTGCTCATTGTTTTCAGTTTTGCTTCCTCCACATCTCATTATGTGTGATTTCTCCCAGCTGTGTTTTCCGCCTGTGTCTCATTCCCTCATTATCCCTTTGTGTATTTAAGCCCTGTGTTTTCCTCTGTCTGTTGTCATGTTGTATCCTCTTTGCTGTGTGTTTTTTCCGTGCTCCTGATAATGTCCTAGTTCCAGTTTAGTTTCCTAGTTTGAGTTCTGTGTTTTTAGTTTATAGCTTTCTTGCGGTTTTTGTATGGATATACAGCAATAAAGCTACCTCCTTAAGTTCATCCATCTGTGTCTGTGAGTGCGGCTTTTGGGACCTCATCCTGCCTGCCACAGCATTACATGACAAAAGTTACCTGAAATGGTTTCACTTCACAGCTGTGCACTGTCAGGGTTCATTTGTGGAATTTCTTGCCTTCTTAATGGGGTTGAGACCATCAGTTGTGTTGGGCAGAAGTCAGGTTGGTACACATTTGAAAGCTGTTAGAATTCATATTATGGCAAGATGCTAAGTAAAGAAAAACGACACTCCATTGTTACTTTAAGAATTGAAGGTCAGTCAGTCTGGAAAATTGCAAAAACTTTGAATGTATCCTGAGTGCAGTTGCAAAAACCATCAAGTGCTACAATGAAACTGGATCACACGAAGACCGCCCCAGGAAAGGAAGACCAAGAGTCACCTCTGCTACTGAGGATAAATTCGCCCGAGTCAACAGCCTCAGAAATCTCAAGTTAACAGCACCTCAGATCAGCCCAGATAAATGTCACACAGAGTTCCAGTAGCAGACATATCTCCACAACAACTGCTCAGAGGAGACTGTGTGAATCACACCTTTATGTCGAATAGCTGTTAAGAAACCACAACTAAGAAAAAGCAACAATCAGAAGAGATTTGTTTGGGCCAAGAAAAACATGGAATGAACATTAGACCAGTGGAAATCTGTTTTGGTCTGACGAGTCCAAATGTGGGATCTTTGGTTCCACCTGCCGTGTTTGTGCGACACAGAAAAGGTGAAAGGATGGTCTCTACATGCATGGTTCCCACCGTGAAGCATGGGGGAGGAGATGTGATGGTTTTGGGGCTGCTTTGCTAGTGACACTGTTGGGTGATTTATTCAAAATTGAAGACACACTGAACCAGCATGGCTACCACAGCATCCTGCAGCGGCATGCCATCTCATCCAGTTTGGGTTTAGTTGGACCAGCATTTATTCTTCAACAGGACAATGATTCCAAACACACCTCCAGGCTGTGTAAGAACTATTTGACCAAGAAAGACAGTGATGGAGGCCTGGCCTCCACAGTCACCTGACCTAAACCCAATGGAGATAGTTTGGGATAAGATGGACCACAGAGTGAAAGCAAAAGAGCCAATAATTCAATTCAATTCAATTTTTTATTTATATATAACGTCAAATCACAACAACAGTGGCCTCTAGGTGCTTTATATTGGACAGTACAGAGAAAAACCCAACAATCATATGA